CCCTTAATCAATCCCCGCCAATCATCGCTAAGCAGCCTGTAAATCCCCCGTAGAAATCCTCATATATACTCCCTCCGTCCTAAAATGTAAAAACATTTTTAACACTAGCGTAGTGTCAAAAACGTTCCTATATTCTGGGACAGAGGGTGTACTTCGTTAGAGGTTTTTAAGGGATCGGTTAGAGATGAACTTATGAGAGGGCGTATTGAGAATAAACTCTCTGGCTTTCACATGCTCTTCTTCTCCCACCTTTGGTGTGTTCCTGCCCAGGTTCGTGAAATAACCCTGCAGGCGAGACAAAAACAAAGCCATTTCATCAGATCCCAGCCAAGTACATCACGCACCCACGAGCACGACCAGGCACGCACGGCAGAAGCGATGGGCGTCGTCTCGGCGGTGGCGGACGCGGTGGTCGTCCTCTTCTCCCTCACCATCGCGGTGGGGGTCCCGCTCATCGACGCGCAGGCCGTCCTCTCGCACGACGCCTACCCGGCGCAGCTGCGGGACCTCAAGCGCTGGTACGCCGCCGAGTTCGACGACTACCTCATGGCCCACCCGCCGCCCTTCTTCCGCGGCCTCTTGTGCCTCGAGCTCGCCTTCCTCTGGCCGCTCTCCGTCGCCACCGTCTACGGCGTCCTCGCCCGCCGCCGATGGGCCGCCACCACCTCCCTCATGGTCGGCGTCACCACCCTCACCTCCCTGGTAACCCCCATCCCTCGCCCCCTCCCCGCTCTATTCCCCGTCCACGATTTATCGAGAGCATGTCGGTCTGCGATTTATAAATGTGCCGCCTATCCTTCGGATCTGCAAAATCAGAGGTCAACTCCACAGTAACCCAATCACTCCGCGTCTCAGCAGAGCATTTCTAGATGTATGTTCATGACAAGTTAGAGACAATAATCTGGATCTGCCTATTTCATGTGAATGAATGATCTGATCCGATGCATGGCCGTTTAAGCTTTCTTACTTGGCAATTGAATAGATCAGCATCTCTAAATTTTCAGTGTCGCCAGATTCAGTCAATCACTACCATATCACTATGGTGATTATCTTGGCTTCGCTCCTAATAGTGATTGCAATTGTTTCAGTCGGCAATATTTGGCGAGATGCTGGGCTCAGGGAAGGCAACGACGAAGCTGCTTCAGATGTATGTTCCATACGCCGTGTTTGCTGTCATTGCCATCCTGCGCGGTCTCTGCTCATGCTCGGCGCCGGCGTCGCCGGCATCTTCTGCTCGGAAGAAGAGGGTCTAGATTTGATTTGCATTTCTGACATTTTTCATCGATAAAACATTCAAGTTTCACTAGGTGTAAGATGCTTTCTTCTGAGGCTGTACCGTCCAACCTACTCCCTCCGTTCGGGATTACTTGTCTCGAAAATAGATGTAACTAGAACTAAAATACGTCTAGATACATCCATCTCTACGACAAGTAATTTCGAACGGAGGGAGTATCATTCAACACCCAGTGGAAATGGAATGTCCATACTGCCATTGTTAAATTTTGTTCACAATTTGAAAAAGATTGTACTGCATCTGTTCTACTTCTATGATAGATCATGTTCAAGAGAGCATCTGGTTTGCCATAATTATTTATTTTATTTATAGCAATATATACCTGGCGACTTGCTGTGGGATTTCAAGCAATATTTGGCTTTTCTATATCAGAAGATAAACAACAACGAAGACATATATCAACTCTTCATTAGCCATACACTAGCTAATATATAAGCTGCTAGGTTTGTGAAGTTGTCTATCTTACAGCTTGGTTTATGAAAACAAGTCTCTTGTTGTCGAGCAAATAAATTTGAACTTACACGAGTAAATTTGTGTCATTGCTGTTATGAACCTATACAAGGTAGGAATTAATGTTGTAATAAACTTATGATGAACATTCGTAATGTGAGGAAATTTAGGTACGAATTCCTTAGTGGGGAACACATGATACAGCACAAAGCCTCCGAAAGTAAGCAAACAAGTACAGTTGCCTAAAATACATGGTAATAAGGGGTACATTATACATAGACACAACAGGATACTGTACATCGATATCATCCAGATACAGTCACTGCAGATATACGTGCTATATACTGGGTACTCTTCTATTTATTTCTCATACTGATACTGACAATGCCAATACACACGAGCTAGCAGAAACACTGCAGTTCGTTAGACCGACAGTAGCTAGCAGAAATAACTGATACCAAATAGAATCCTCCCGAAAGCTGAACTAAACACGGCAATGACGAAAATAAGACCGACACCAAGATAATATGGTAGCATCATCACCAAAGGCGGCAGTGATCTACTCGACTGACTGATCATGGCCGACATGGACATATATATACACATATATAACAACAGGCTTGCTGGTAAGGATTCTCGGGGCTGCTCGGCGATGGATTACTGTCCAGACTTTGTGTTCTTCAAGTGGAGCTAGTCCATCTTCTGAGCCAACAAGTTCATGTCATCTGGAACCACAAGGTTGCTGGCCTCCTCGCCGAGCCCCCCTTCATGCAGCAGGTCCTCCCAGAAATCATCATTTAGCTCTCCACTGGGCCTGCCTCTCAGTTGCTCCGAACGGCTGGAAGCGACACTCTGCTGCACCTCAGCTCCCTTTGTGTCGACGGACGAGCTTTCAAGATCGGATATGACACCGTTCACGAGCGAGTCCACTGGCTCCTGCTTCTCAAACATTACCTGTGACCCTTGTTCCAGGGTAGAGCCAGTGCCCATGCCATCGACAGCTTCAGGTCCTTGGTCGATGCGGCGCCGTCTTTTATTTGAGATGGCATCTTCAAGCTCCTTCCTCATCTCACTCTGGGAGATCAGCTGGCGTATGAACATGGGATTCTGCATGACTCGCGCCAAGAATGACATCATCTGCTGTTGCTTCTGCTCGGTTCCTTGCAGCCTCTTTTCCATGGCTTGCAGATCTGACCTTGTGTTCTGTTGCTCCTGTCTGAGCTTCACCACTTCAGCCATCAAGAGCTGCTTGTCCCTTTTCAAATGATCTATCTCCACGTCATGTCCAAAGTTCCCCACCTCAAGGTAAGAGCCAAGAGATTGCTGATTCTGAGACCCATGTGTAGGTTTCCGGCGCTTAATATTTCTGAGGAGGTGCCTCTGCCCTCGCAAGAATCCCTCATTTGCAAATTCCCACCTGTCAGGATCCACCTTTCTGAAGCCCTGCCAAAGGCAATAACAACCATGTCAGAAATCGGATAATTAAATAAGGCAAAAAGAAGGTTTATCCAACAGTAAATTAACCATTCAGAATTTAGATAAACAACAGTGGCAAAGAGAGAGAGAGAGAGAGAGAGAGAGAGAGAGAGAGAGTGGGGAAGATGAGCCTGTAAGAATATCTAATTTACCTCTTTATGACAAGTTTCAGTTCTCATGATACATTTTTCAGTTTGCTGGTTTCAGTTCTTCACTTTATTTGTCAACTTTCCTCTTCATCTTCATCCTTTAATATTGTATGAACTGGAAGCTTACTCAAGGCAAGATGAAGTATCAATAGGAAGATTTTACTCACTTCATACATTTTACATTTGCTGATTTCAGTTCTTCACTTTATTTGTCAACTTTGCTCTTCATCTTCATCCTTTAGTATTGTATGAACTGGAAGCTTACTCAAGGCAAAATGAAGTATCAATTGGAAGATTTTACTCAAGGCAAACAAATGAAGTATCAACTGGAAGATTTTACTCAAGACAAACAAATGAAGTATCAACTGGAAGATTTTACTCAAGGCAAACAAATGAAGTATCAACTGGAAGATTTTACTCAAGGCAAACAAATGAAGTATCAACTGGAAGATTTTACTCAAGGCAAACAAAGGAAGTACCAACTGGAAGATTTTACTGAAAAGATCACGTGATAGCGTAACTAGAATGTGTTACACCTACTCGGAGCTAACATCATCATGAAGCATTCAGCTGGCGACTGCACACATGCTCTCAAAGACTTATAAGGTCAATAAAACTACTACCCACAGATTAACTCATAGCCCAAATCTCGTAAAATCTGAAGGTTCTCCTGGAATCTCCTGGAAATGCAACAATCATCCTGTAAAATCTGGTCTTCCAACACCCGCAAGTTTCTAGGATAAGAGAATAATGATAAAAGAATAACCCAGAGTCCCACACTATCGGCAATGCTACCACAGGCAGCACAGATACTAGTATACCAAACTTCCTCTTTTACTCTTTCTGATCTCTTGGCCAAACTATCAAATGCTACTACGGGCAACACAGACACTAGCATAACAAACTTCCTCTTTTACTCTTTCTGATCAGATCTTTTGGCCAAAATATCAAGGCTTTCAATTTTGTCCGTCTTCAATTTCACAATACAACTATTTTAGGCTTTTCGCCTATTTTCAATTTTATCATGTGCTTGTAAATTCCAAATTGCACTCAACTAATTCTGTAGGCTTGGGATTTGACTCAAGCACTTGCAACTTTGGTTAATTTGAGGATTTTTATAACCGCTGCCTAAACTGAAAAACAGCACACACGAACTACCAGCTGGCTGTGAGGTTATCATATGCTTGTACATTTCAAGTTGATATCAACTGACTCTGCAGGTTTGAAAATAATTGTGGTTGCCATAATTTTGAGGATTTTTATGGATTGTTGCATAAAACGAAAACATCACACAAACTACGAAGTATCGGCTATCATCCTATTGGTTATTTCTTCTTAGGTACATAGGTGAAGATGTATGTGATATCTTGCAGGATAACTTGAGTGAAGTTAAAACAACATCCATAAAGATGGAGGTTTATAGGGAGCAGGAGCAGAGCATGTGTCTATATGAGTACTTTGTTGTTAATGGTAGCTAGAATTTGAACTATTAGACTGCATTCGCATTGGACCTCCTGTTCGCCCCCAAAGTCCCCCTAGGCGCATTGCCACTGTTACCCCCCAAACCATTAGGGCTGCCAATCACCCCCTAATTAGCTTGATCTATAAATCTATAGCTGTTCCCCTGCCACTCCTTGTAAACTAGAGCCAACAAGCGGTGGCATCAGAGGCCAGGACTGTGAACATGAGGCGAAATTAGATATATAAAAATTTCAGTAATCCCAGGGTGAGCAAATAAATGCTCCAGTACTTTGAGTAATCCCAAGCTCCACTCATTCCTAACCCTTGTGGTTTACTAGCAATTGGCATCATTCAACCAATCAATTTAGGTACAAAGGGCCCAAAGCAAAGCAGCAAGGGGAGGGGTGGCAGTACTTACATAGGTGTTGAGCTGCCGGACGAAGCTGGAGAAGTTGCTGTGCTTGAAGTACCTCGGCAGCAGCAGGGTGGCGAAGAGGTGCGGGTCCCAGACGACGAAGCTGTTGCTGGTGGCGGTCCAGGAGACGACGGCGTCGGTGGCGGGGTCGTCGACCATGTCGTAGGTCTTGGCGAGGAACGGCGTGGGCCCGGCGTCGCCCAGCCCGTCCATCGGCCTCGGCGCCCCTCCGCCTGCGGCCGCCGCCGGGTCGGGGTCGGGGCAGCGGCGGCCCTCCACCTTCACCGGACTCATCATCATCCGGTGGCTCATGGCAGCGGCAGAGCCCACCGCCGATCGAGGACCGCGCCTTGTGACAGGGGTTTTTCGCCCGTGCAAGCCTTGATGTGGCTGGCGCAAGTGGGCACGGCTTGCGCGTGACAAAAGGGCGGGGGGGAATGGGCGGCCTGGTCCCGTGACGAGGCACGCCTAGCAGCTAGCAGCTAGCAGCAGCAGCGCTGGGGGAGGCGGATTGAAGCAGGGAAGAGAGACGCGGAGAGACACGTCGCGGGCGTGATCACCGTGACCCCGGCGAGATCTCCGCGCGCCGCGGACGGAATCTGACCGGCGAGGGCGATGGGTGCGCCGCGCAGGAAGGCAGCGGCGGCGGAGGAGGGAGGGTGGTAGCCTGGTAGGTAGGTGGCGGGGCGGGGTGGGGACTGGGGAGTAGCCGTAGCAGTGGCCGCTTTGGGGATGGAAGGTTCTGGAAGCGGTGCGCGTGCGAATATGCGGTGCGGCCATGTGTGGCGTGGGGATCATCCTCTCCGATCAGAGAAGATCAGGGACGCGACGCGTGCGTCACCGGGGAGGGAGATGGGCCGGGCCGGGTCGGGCCCTGGTGGGCCAACATAGGCCACAGATAACCGGGCCGGGCCGGGGCCGGTCTTGGCGAAAGTCGTCAGTCGCGTGCGTCCCCACCCCACCCCGTCCCGTACGAGCCTTCGAGGCCAAGGCACGAACCGACCCGCCCGACCCGACCCGGCAGTTGGGTCTTCTTCTACTCCCCATCCGCCCCACGAGAGGAGAGACGATTACGAAGCGTGCCCAACTCCATCTGCTTCCTTTTCCTCTTCCCCCCGTCCCCGACGACCCCCGGCCGAAACCCTAGCGAGGCGCGATGTTCGGGTACCGGAAGGCGCCGGACCTCGACCTCGAGGCGGGCGGCTCGGCGGCGCTCTACCCGGGGATGACGGAGGACGTGGAGCTGCGCTGGGCCTTCATCCGCAAGATCTACGTCATCCTCTCGGTCCAGCTCGCCATGACCGCCGCCGTCGCGGGGTTCGTCGTCAAGGTCCCCGCCGTCTCCGAGTTCTTCGTCTCCTCCAACGCTGGCCTGGGCCTCTACATCTTCCTCCTCGTCCTGCCCCTCATCGGTACAGTAATTATTATTGTCGAGCCTCCCCGGCTTGCCCCCGGCCCCGGCCCCTCTCTGAATTCGGGTTCGCGCGTTGACTGACTGATGGAATTGCTTGCTCCGTTCGCGCTCCGCAGTGCTCTGCCCCCTGCGCTACTACCACCAGAAGCACCCCGTCAACCTCATCCTGCTCGGCGTCTTCACCGTCTCCATCAGCTTCGCCGTCGGCATGACGTGCGCCTTCACCAGCGGTAATAACAATAGATCACCCCCTCAGTCCTCTGTTACTTCTCAAATCATTGCTTGTTTGTTATTCATCTGTGATTGAAATTAACCATAGGTTGTTCTATAATTGATTGGGCATGTTAACTTGTGATGAAGTAGTAGTTGTTTGTGTTAATTGTGACGGATGGATCGCTTTTCTCTCTTGCATCATTCGCTAGAATCATTGTTCCTGAAGTAAAATCATTGTTCGTTATGCGTGTGCTACTTGATTTTTGTAGTTTGACTTGGTGAGCATTCGGATCAGTTGTGTTAGGCTATGATTATGATTGAGCACTAATGCCACGCCATGGTTTTGTTTGTCCCTTGCATTAGCCTCTGATTTCTTGCTCATGTCCTCGAATGATTGCTAGATGGAGTTTTCATTTGGTCTTGTTTGAGTATCTGCAACAGTTTTGCATGATAATAGATTACTAGTTGATGCAGACTACTCCTAACATTGAGAATCTGTTCTTTTGTTGTCCACACAAGAAATAGCTCATGCTGATGGTGTTTTCATAAGTACAACACATTTTTATATAATAAATTTTGCTTTCCTACTTAGGATGCAAAGCAGAAGTATGTCTATGACTCTGTGCATGTGCCTCTTTGGTACTACAGGCAATAATTGAATGCAGTGATTCCTGATCCATCTGTTGATTACATGATCCTATTGTTTGTACTGGCAGCAAGTTTGAGTTTTCTCTGGGTCCATGGTTTTTACATATATATAGGTTCCCGATGTATTACTATGCTAATCTTGTTTGTACTATACTTCAGATCAGTGAGCAAAGTTTTGCAAATGCCGTTCTAGTTCCTCCTTCCCATTATATTCTGATAATTCCAAATGTTAGTACGAGTTGATACTTGTTCAGTTTCCTTCTTGTTGACTCGAAAGGTTGCCTTGTTTGTTTAGAAGTGGAACCCCTTGCCTTTTTTATTCCCATTCATACATTTATGACTTATCCCTGTTCCAGTTTTGGGGGCGACTCTATTAACATTTTCAAAGTGCTAGAGAGTTCTCCTTTGTGTGGTTTCTGCCTTCATATTTTTTAATGTGCATGTAAAAAAAGTCCTACTATCGATATTTACTTTCATAATACAACCACCTGAGGTCTATATCATCAGATGTACACTAAATTTCCAGTGAATGGCACCGCCTTGTTGAATGTTTTCTTTGGGGGTTCTAGAATCTGAATGGCGTGTTCCAGAGCTACACAATGCATCAATTCTTATTAGCAAATGTCATTCTAGTTCCTTTGATTTTGTTGTGATAATTCCAAGTCTTTTGTGACTTTGTGCTACCACTTGGGGCAAGGTTTTGAGGTATCAGAAAATCTATAATGCACTCATCCAATACAAAAGCATTTATCATATCACCACTTCTGTAGAGTCGGATCGATCCTTCTTTTCCTGTTGTTCCCTTGTCGAAACGAAGTTGCCTTGTTTGTTTAGCAGTCGAACCCTTGTCCTTTTTCTTCCCCTACATTTAACCATGTTGCAGTTTTAGTTTTTGAACCAAAGGCGCCATTCCATTTACCTTTTGAAGAGCTAGAATGTGACCCAGTGTGTGTGTTTTGCCATAATATTTCTTAATGTGCGTGTTATAAAGTTCCTACCGTCAGTATCAACCTTTGATAGTGCAACCACTTTAGGTCTATATATTGTGTGTACCCTAAATATTTAGTGAATGGCACCACCTTATTGAGCGTTTTCTCAAGGGGTCTAGAACTGCTCTGTTGGGGTGTCTCAGAGAGTCAGAGCTCAATTCTTATTTAGTTCAGGAATTGTTAACTCTCTGGTTTTGAGTGTTTTTGTTGGACATTTCCACTAAGCACTTAAGGTATCACTGCATGTTTGGATGTTGTGTTAGTTACCTCTTTTGGATTTGATGCTGAGACATCACTGATTCTTGTTGAGAATGAGGGCTTTGGCATTACTCCTTTCTTGTGAAAGATCTTTTGATTGTTGGGATATCTGAATTACATCGGTGAAGTTTGGACTAAAAATAACAAATTCTTTCAGCTATGATGATGCATGTTCTTCTGTCTTCACTTCATCTATGTCGTCAGTTGTCATACTCTCCACAGGAGTTGTGCACATCAACTCAACATAGGGCAGGGCCTCTACTGTGAATTAATTATACTATTGTGTGTGCACAGGAAAAATCATCTTGGAAGCTGCAATTCTGACAGCAGTGGTGGTGATCAGCTTGACTGCCTACACTTTCTGGGCTGCAAAGAGAGGCCATGATTTCAACTTCCTGGGCCCGTTCCTGTTTGGAGCTCTTATGGTGCTGCTGGTGTTCTCACTTATCCAGGTTGGGCAGCTGCACCTTATGTCCCTTCTATATTCCTTCAGATGGATACTGCAAAACTACTATCGATCACATTGTTTCGTGCATGTGATATACTAATAACACTTGTGCTGGCAGATCTTTTTCCCACTGGGCAAGATCTCCACCATGATATATGGGGCCGTGGCGTCGATCATCTTCTGTGGCTACATCATCTTCGACACGGACAACATCATCAAGCGCCACACGTACGACGAGTACATCTGGGCTGCCGTGTCCCTCTACCTCGACATCATCAACCTGTTCCTGAATCTGATGCAAATTCTGCGGGCAGCTGATAGCTGAGCGCACCTTGCCCAACATCGCATGATTTAAGTCCACTAGCTTGTGCATATCAGAAAATTCATGAATGCCCGCAGATACCTGTAGGCATGTACAATCGTTATCAGTAAATTCTGCCGTCCTAGACTCCATCACATGTCTTGTTTCCTAGCTTCCTGGAGTATGCAATGTGTGATTGAACCAAGCTGCACGATGAAAATATACTCACTGGTGCTTTGTGACTGCAAGGCACGTGAATTTAATTCCCTGCTACGAAATGTTCCATTTTAATTCCGCTGAATGTTGCATATTGGCACGAATGCAAAATCCTGGGTGTTTTGATCTTGTGATATGTCCTCTACTCGAGTGTCTTCAAGAAGGTAACGGTGCGCGCACCATGGAAACGAACCTTGTGAGACCAAAGCCACGGCTCCGCTCGAATTTCATATGGCGTACTACTGTACTCGTGTTGATGCCGGCACCACCACAACCACCGCAACGGGGCTCCGAAAGCCACAACGCCGTGCCACTTGCTTCTACTCTGCCGCCTGCACGGCCACTGCCAGACAACCGCACCATGCCAACGGACTGCACACAACGGATCCAGGCGATCCAAGGCTGGTTGGTGTGTCGACAAGGAGAGTTCATTTAGAGTTGTCATGCTCTTTAGAGGTGACTGGCATCGGTCGGGACACGATTTTGTTGGTCAGTTTAGGACAAAGCACTTAAGAGTTGTATTGTGTGCGTTCGAGCTGGAGGCATGTGGTGAGAGCTTGCTGGAATTCTTGGATTCCGTGCCTTCTATAAAGCTATATGGCACGCAGTTTGCATGCTCTCGAGAAAAGAAGAAGCCAAATTGTCATAAAAATACGTATAATCCCCGTCGGTTCTAGCTGTGCATTCCGTTATTATCGACAACGTGATGAAATTATTTGGACGGTGAAGAAAGAGGCACGGGGAAACAGGTTCTGAAGCGACCGCGCCCAGAATAGATGCCTCCAGCCATGACCTCTAAATGACTTGACGTCCATGGCTGGCGGAAGCTATTGAGACACCATTCCTTGGCCCGGACACCATCGTCGACCCGCCCGTCCGTCGTCCGTAGTCCTCTACCTGCTGGCAAGGAAAAGCAGGCGCCGATCGAAGGTAGCCGCGGCCATGGGGAAGCACGATCACCACCACCACCACCACCACCACGATGTGGAGGCGTGCTACCCGCCCGACGGGTACATGATCGAGAGCCCGGAGCTGCGCTGGGCCTTCATCCGCAAGGTGTACGTCATCGTCTCCATCCAGATGCTCGTCACCGTGGCCGTCGCCGCCGCCATGAACCTCACCGACTGCGTCCGCAACTTCTTCCTCTCCCGCACCCCCGCCGCCCTCGTCGCCTTCATCCTCATCCTCATCTCCCCCCTCCTCGGTCGGTACCCAACCCTATCTCTGCTTCGCTTTCATTCTCCATGCATGCGGTTGCTGACGGACGCCCTTGGTGTGAGCCGCAGTGATGCTGCCCATGGTCTACTTCCGGCAGAAGCACCCGGTGAACCTGGTGTTTCTGGGCATCTTCACCGTGTGCGTCAGCCTGTCGGTGGGGCTGGGGTGCCTCACCAAGCGCGGGCCCATCATCTTCGAGGCGGCGGGGATGACGCTCGTCGTCGTGGTCTCGCTCACCGCCTACACCTTCTGGGCGGCCAGGCGCGGCCACGACTTCGAGTTCCTGGGGCCCTTCCTCTTCGCCGCCTGCGTCATCCTCATGCTCTACGCCATCGTCATCATCCTCTTCCCCATGGGCAAGACGGCCGTGCTCGTCTATGGCTGCATCGCCGCGCTCATCTTCTCCGCCTTCATCATCTACGACACCGACAACCTCATCAAGCGCTACACCTACGACGAGTACGTCGCCGCCTCCATCACCCTCTACCTCGACATCATCAACCTCTTCAGGGCCATCCTCATGGCCCTCGATGCCGCCGACTGATCTTGATCAGAGCAAACCAGCCAAACCTAACATGATGATTCATTCGCCTCTGCCTGCCTGGCACATGTATGTATGCTAAACTAGATGCCGTATGTAGATTACCATGGATGGAAAGTTATTACGTGCTCTCAACATGAGTCACTGTGATTGGATATTAACAGAAATGTAGTATTGCCAATGAAATCATTATTCGTTGCGACAGTCTGGAATGATCATCGACAAGCCAAGCCAAGCATCATCAACACCAAACTCTCGAGGGAAAAGGGATATGGATATGAATTTTCTCAGCAAGGAACATTTGTTTCGTTTGTCAAACAAGCCCACACGCAGAAATTGCAGCCTACAGGAGGCTAACTGGGCTCTTAAATACCTCATGTGTAAAATAGGGGCACAAAGTTGCCAGCATCAACCACAACAGTTAAATGTTTACACCCACTGAAACACACTATCTTAGATGGGTCTGCTTAATGTTCTTCTATCTTCTTCAGGTCCTTCATATTTGTTGTGTCCACACTGGCAAAAAAAATTTAAATCAAGTGTTCAGGAGATGAATCACAAGTAATGACTGATTTTCATCAAATGTGTATATGGGGGGTAAAAATCAGTCTGCAGTATCTATGAAGTGATTTTTTTTAATCTACGATAAGGGAAATAAGAGCTTAAACTTAGCCATTGCCTCGATACAGTAATGACTTGCAAATTCAGTTCTGATTTGCTAAAATAATGGCTTTCACCCTACAATTATCTTTTCTTTCCAAAATAAGCTGTTACTAAGAATATACTCCCTCTGTTCCTAAATATAAGTCTTTTTAGAGATTTCAATGCGGACTACATACGGATGTATATAGACGTACTTCAGAGTGTAGATTCACTCATTTTGCTCCGTATGTAATCCGTAGTGGAATCTCTAGAAAGACTTATATTTCGGAACGGAGGGAGTACAACACAAATACTCCTGGGATATTGTGCAGCTTCAGGAACTAATGATACTGATGCCTGATGGCACAACTAATCACAGATCTCCCACAATCTGAGCAGTCCAGCTAAAAGGACAATATAATATGTGCATCCAGACATCCAGTGCAAATTATGAAATACTAGGTGCTAACAGAACTTACGTGGTTCCATAAAGCGCGATCTTCTGAATTTTTGTGATGTCAGCTCCGCTTTGATTGTCTTCGATAAACATAGTCAGGCTGGGGTGGCAAAAAAGGGGTTATAAGAATCAGATAACAGTACAAAATGCCTGTTACCCACCTGCTAGAGAGAGATGCACATACCTGCGAACATTCTGGAACTTCACATACTTTAGCGTGACAGGCTTACTCTGCAGAAAAGAATAGCCAAGGCTCATCAATTTGAGGTAATGCATAAGCTAAGACATGGGCATCAAAGAAAAGAATATCAAAAACAAACTTAGATTTTAGGATAACAACATACTTCCAGTAAATGGCTGGATGACAGGTCAACACTATCACTTGGAGGGAAGTCATTGACGTTGCTGCCAATCAATACAGAAATTTATGTCAGGAATAAGGGAAAACCCAAAACGTTTTCAGAAGTCGGTATCAATGAGCTTCAGTGAAACTAAAAGGAAGTATACCTGAAACCCATATGCTCTCTGTTGGAGAAGAGTTTAACTGTCTTTGGGCCTGTGTTCAAAGAAGATTGCATTAACTATTTGAGAAAGCATCAACACACCCAAGAGAAATACTGAAGTGGTTTAAGAAAGGGGCTACTACTTACAAACTAAATACGTCACTCCAAGGTAGAGAAAAAGAAGCATGAACACAAAAAAGTGGTAAGAGAACAGCAGCATGCAGCCTAGCATGCCCATATCAAGCTATATATTGTTGTAAAGCGTTGAAAGAGAAGAACTCTTGAGCTTTTCAGCATTAAACAAAGCTAAATATGTTGAAAGAGAAGAAATATATTTTTCAATGGCAGGAGCATATGCTCCCATGTGCCAAAGTGTTCCGATAAGCAACCATCTTTTTTATGTACCATGGAACACTAGACGATAGGTCAGATGGTCACCACATAGGTCCCAACAACTAACATCTGACCATAAATTTACAGAAATAATTGTACCCTCTACTAGCATTTGCAGACCTGACATCAGAAAAGAGTGCCCTAGCCAACTAGTGTATCAATAACTACAGATATTAGCTGTAAATTGTCAATTTTATTTATAAACGAAGAAGAAGAGGCAAATCAAAGCGTCCTAGGCCACTAGATCATGCCATGTTTTTCCCCAAAATGGAAGGAGCCCCAGACTCTGCACTGCTTTAATGCAAACACCATAAATAACAATATCTTCTATTTAGCATTAAACACTAGACGATAGGTCAGACCAAAGTTCAAAAAATCGCGTCTGGGTGCAAAGAGCCGGCCGGAGTGACGCAGCGCTTTGGTCTTGCGCGCTTGGAAAAGTGCAAGGCACCCCTACGCTTAGCGCCTTTTTCATTTGGGTGCGCATACGGAGTGGCGAACTAGACACAAGTAGGTCCCTAAACACATAATTAGCGCCCAGCGCCTTTTTGAATTATGGGTCAGGCACACATGAGGTCTAAAGAACTTACTTATCATACATTTACAAAACTTAACTTGTGTGCAACCGTCTATTAGCATTCACAACAGACTAAATCGAGCCCCCTGGTTCGAACAGAAACAAGTCCTCCTTGACCTCAGAAGAAGAGGCTTTAACTCTAAGTAATCAATGTATGCAGCAACTAGCATTTGTGCAGTGACGTTGAGTTACAAATCTCACCTTCTTCCTCGGGGCCTTTGAAGAGCGCGGAATGCAGCTTGATGACCTGCATGAAGGGGATGTAGATCAGCAGCTGCTCGTCCGAGTCGCTGGCGAGGTGCAGCCCTTCATCCTCCCTGTAGCCCTGTTGAAAAGCACCACTCATGAGAAACGCAATCGGCTCTAGACTAGAATCCGCAGGAGGGTTAACACAGCACACATACACGGCCGTGGCACGGCGCTAATCTACGAAACCCTAGGGGGGAGTTCCCCCGGCGAAAATCGAACGGGCCGCCGCCGGATCGGCGCCGGGGAAGCGTCTGGCCGCGGGAGTTGACGCGGTACCTGCTTGAGGGCGTTGGCGATGCCGTGCGCGGGGTCCTGGTTGAGGCACTCGACGCCGGTCCAGTCGATGAAGTCGACCAGATCCACCTGACCGCGCGGCACCGACGCGGACGGGGCGGGCGCGGCGGCGGCGGCGGGCGCGGTGGCGGCTGCGGTCGGCGCGGGCGCGGTGGCCATGGATGGCTCCCGGAAGCTTCTGGAAGGCCGGGCTAGCAGGGGCGGACGCGAGAGAGACGGCGGGCTTGCGCTCGGGCGACTTGGACCTCGACTCGTCTCGTCTCGTGCGATGACGACTTGGGTTGCGTTGCGTGCGAGCTGCACCCGATGCCTTTTCTTTTCCTCTCCCACTTTCCCTCCCGGCCTGGGCCTGGGCTCCCCGTCCGTCGCGCAGTCGGGCCCGTTCGAGTCGAAGCCCATCGGGCCGGCGGAAATCAGAGCCCACGCGGCTAGCACATACCGTCGAACCTGCTGGCTGCCCTGGTGCGTGCGGGGAGCGGAGGCTGGTGGTTTCGTTTAGTCCCACATCGCCTGGCGAGGGAGGGCGAGAGGCTCGGCGAGGCTATAAGAGGGAGGGGGTGGCGTGAGTTGCAACTCATACCTTTCTCGGCCTTTTGGCTAAGATCAAGTGTAGTATCTGTTCTTATCAGTTTAATATCTGATATGTGGGCCATGTGCTCACAACGATATTAAATTTATTTTTTGTGGGGGAGGGTCCACCACAGTGGCTTGCTACTGGGACCCTCGTGTGTCGCCCGGGCGTTGCACTGCTGCCCGGGCCTGGCGCACCCCAACCAATTCAAATACAAGGTTTGTTTGTTTGAATTATAGTGGACTGTTCGTTCTGGAGCTGTCTAAAATCGGAACCGAAGAAAACCTGGCTCTCCTTTAGTCCAATGTTCAGGTTCAGACTCCCTCCACGGCAGCATCTCTTTCTGCACCGCACCATGTGCTTGAAAAATAGGAGCAGCAACAGGATGAGGAGTGAATGTACTTGAATTTCTTTGTTTCTCCTGTGTCCCAGTACACTGATCCAAATGTTTTTTTTTCAAACACCAGTTCTTCACGGCAAAAACAGTTAAACCGTTCCAAAATTACTCGAGAACAAATTGCGTACTGATTCAGTTAGTTCCTTACACGAGTCACAGTCAAGCGGCTCATTCGTACTTTGCTCAAGTTGTCTCTGTTCGTAATTTTGTTCATAGTGATTCTCAGCAACAACAAAAGATGTTCATAGTCAACAACTAGATGCGATGCCATCTACTTCTGTCGGTGTTCTAGGATCGAGGGTACCTAGACCTGCCTGCCCGCGGCCCAGCACATGACTTCATCGACGACTCCACAAGCAAGGCCCTCGCGAGGCGAACGACATCAAGACCTCCCGGGGAGCAGCCCTCCTGCCTCCGAGGAGCGGAGATCTCTATGCAGGTACCCCACCTCGTGAGGCTCGCGATGACCTGAGCATTGACGACCAAGGTCAGGTGGGCGCCAGCAGGCGCAGACCAGGATAGTTTCCTCTTTGATGCTAAGGAGGTAAGGACAAGCGCGAGTTTTCAAGGAATCCCCCAAAGGTTACTATTCTGATGTAACAAGACCAAGATCACGGGCTCGGCAGGACAGAGGTCATCACTGAGCCGACAACTGCGTCATGGCCAAAAACTTTGCAGGCGAAGACCACCTTTCGCCAGGATAAGATGTATTCTCGCCCCCTTCAAAATTGGCCACTGTGGTATTCCTTCCCCCCTAACTTATGAGGGAAGAGAACCGGGCCTAGTATAAATATAGGTTAGCCTCCACCGTAGAGAATGATCGATTCATTCTCATCCTCCGAGCCCTCGCTAGACAGCTCATCCACTGTACTATTTCACCCTCAGCATCCTTGTGAGGCCAATCCACCACAAAGCAGGAG